TGTGTCTTTTACATAGTGTCATTAATGTACATTCACAAAGGTGAAATGTAATTCTGATCAGCTTCCATATATACTTTATACCCATACATATACATACACACACACATATACATACATATATACACACACATGCAGTCACATACATATGTCTTATTTACTCTGACAGGGTGAGATAGCTGATAAAGAAACTAGTGTGCAATTAAGCACTTAATCACTGAAGGTGATGAAGGTGCTTTTACAAGCTCAGGTTATATAGTTACATCATATATATAAATTGTATAATTGATATATTACATGGTCAATCTTGGATACAAGTCCAATATATCATCAAGTGTTCCAGTACTCATATAGTAACTACAGAGTTCAGCATACCTTAGCCCAGGAGGGCGAAAGTCAGTCAGTATGGGACATTCTACAATATAATGTTCAAGAGAGTGCATGTTTTCTCTTTCACAAAGTTGACACATTGTGTACTCGACATTTGGGGTTTGAGAAAGCTGCCAGATACGTCTATATCCCAGGCGTATTCTGGCCACTATAACATCACATTGCCGGGTTCTTGTTCTATTAGTCCCATATGTGAATGCCTCCTCACGATATCTATCATAATATTTAATGCTACAACTTTCAGGTCTTTGTGAATTTGTTAGGTCGGTGAGATTTTCATTAGATATTTGTTTAAGTATTCTCTTTGTCACTGCTAATGAAACACCCATATCAATTTCTACCACTGGTTTTCTGCAGGCTGTCTTAGCAAGCATATCAACAGTGTCATGCCTTGAGATGCCAACATGTGATGGTATCCATAGGAATTTAATCTCAAATCTGTTTTCTTTAGCAGCTAAAACATTCATTCGAATATCACTGACTATTTTCTGGGTGTCACTACTATGTGCATTCAGTGCCAGGAGTGCACTCTGCGAGTCACAGTATATAAGTCCACTGCCTTTGTCTTTTAAAAATTCAGTAGCAAGGTATATGCCTGCAAGTTCGGTTTGAGTTGTACTTGCCCAGTCATTGACGCGCTTCATTGCTGTATGTACGAGAGAAGATTGTTCAAATATGTTACATGCACATCCGGTACATCGTCCACCTTCTTCTACAGAGCCGTCGGTATAGCACTGATACACATCGTTACCCATACTCTGAGTACTTTCAGTGATGCTTTTCAGTGTTAACTGTTTTAATAATGTAGTGTGCACACTATCTTTCTTGGGCGCATTTACAAAATCAACTGATAGATCCCAGTTATCCCATGGAGTAATTGGTTGATTAATCATTAGTTGAGTTGGGTACATATTTAATATTTTGATGGAGTTGGCTACCTTGTAGAACCAATATACATAATCAGATTTCGTTCTTCTTCTATAGACCTCAGGTGAGTGCAGCATATTAGAAAGTTTAGCTTGAAACTTCATGTGTTGTCTAGATCTACTCAATGCCTTCACGCCGAAAACTGTGCTAATAGACAAAATTCTCTCACTTATGGTAGGTAATTTTAACTCTGCTCTCATATTAACTATTCTCGTGGTGAGCCTCGTCAGCCTTCAGCACGTTGTGTGGAGTGTCCCTCGTGAGGCGCGGCGACCAGGACGGCCTGGTGACAGCGGGTCCTCGCCCCCACCACCACGACGGTATTATCCTGCTTCTATTGTTTATGATTCTTATTATAAATCCTAGATTTACGTTTGTTTTATTTCATGCAGTGATGCATTGCTGACTGGTCCTCGGGTCGCTGCTAACCATCGCCCCGAGTCTCTCTCACAATGTGATGTTCACGTAGCTCTTACTGATGGGTTATGTCGCATCTCGCTCTTTCCCGAGGTTAAGGTAATTTGTCTTTTCTCTCAGTTGACCTACAATCGCCCTTTCTCCGCCCAGCACTGCAGCTCCTGTGATGTTCAGTACTCACCACACGCCGTCTCTCTCTCTGTCATCTCCAGACTTACTAAGATTGCTGGTCACTCTAGTATCACGGTCATTTGTGTCAATTATGACAAGAGACTGTTGAACATGGAGGAGAGGGGGCGGCACACAGTCTACAGTGATAATACTGCACGACCAGGTCCCTATACTGCACAATAACTTGCCCCTAGTGAGAGATAAGGCAGGAGCTGCACAGGAGACCAGACAACAGTAGGGGGGGGGGGCCATGAGCACAATTAGAGAACACTGAGTGAGCATCAGGTGTTCTTCAAACTTATCACAAACCCACCGGGCTGCGCTGTGGACGTAGAGCAACTCTCGAGGCTGGCTACAGGTAATATATATTCAGCCCGCTTAGCCTTACCTCACAGACACTTGTGTCAAAAAAGAAAATGTCAGGAGCTTTTCGTGAGAGGACGGGGAGAGGGGGGAGGGGGGGTGAGGGTCGTGAGGAGACGGAAAAAAAGTGTAATTGTAATTTTCCGATTAACACGCACGGAAGGTGTTTAATTGAGTGGGTGTAATGGCCAGGATGTCTGGCAGACCAGTCCCACACTGGCCCGGGCGGCAACCTTCACTATGGTAACACTGCCAAACTTATCATGGCAACATTACTAGGGCAGCCTTCAGAATGTTCTTGTGGCAACTGTGTTGCATGTGTTGTGGCCACCCCCCCCCCCCTCCCTTGTCACCACCAGCCGTCACCTCCCCAGTGACCACATTCACATTACCTCTCAGGAACATTTATTTAACACACAACAGATTATGAAGAAACTACAATTTTGCGGCATTGAGTCTCCGAGCACCGAGACTCCTCACCAAACACACTCTCCGAGCACCGAGACTCCTCACCACACACACACTCTCCGAGCACCAAGACTCCTCACCAAACACTCTCCGAGCACCAAGACTCCTCACCAAACACTCTCCGAGCACCAAGACTCCTCACCAAACACTCTTCGAGCACCAAGACTCCTCACCAAACACTCTCCGAGCACCAAGACTCCTCACCAAACACTCTCCGAGCACCAAGACTCCTCACCAAACACTCTCCGAGCACCAAGACTCCTCACCAAACACTCTCCGAGCACCAAGACTCCTCACCAAACACTCTCCGAGCACCAAGACTCCTCACCAAACACTCTCCGAACACCAAGACTCCTCACCAAACACTCTCCGAACACCAAGACTCCTCACCAAACACTCTCCGAGCACCAAGACTCCTCACCAAACACACTCTCCGAGCACCAAGACTCCTCACTAAACACGACCAACAGTAAATTCCACCAGCAGCCAACACAGTCTCCCTAGCATCACCCAATAACCAGTAACCACACTCTCCCAGTGCAAACATTATTCCACGAATATCCACGAAGGTCAGAGACCGGGCCTCTGGGGACGTTGATCCTTGGAACCTTCGCAAGAAAGAGTAACCGCAAGGTAAGGTAATCCTCCCCAGGGGCGAGGGACTTCCCAGCCTTAATTGTCATTAATGCCTCATGCCGGGTACTGTCGCCCCAGTAAGCCACCCGTCTCGTGAGATGACAGTAGGTAACTGTCCGGTGGAGAGTACCAGTATGTGGTGATGGACCTCCAGTACACCACTTATGGAGGAGCAGACTGAAGAATGTTTGTCTGTCTGTGGTCGATAGTATAAAGCCAGACACAATAGGGTTTTATCTCGTATTATGTGACTAGTTTGTCACAAGCACTGCCTCAGAGGCCTTGGAGCATCACCTCGTAGATTATATTGACAATATTGGTGTTGATTTTGAAGCAACGTCTTGCAGCTGACTCGTACGAGGCGTCAACTCTGTGTGGCCCTCACCTCTCACTTTACACTGTGATGAAGAAAGATATCCCTCAGTTGTTTCTTATATATCCACGTCATTCCTTGCACTTAGCCAGTTCTCGTGCATCTGATCATTACCTTCCAACATGGACTTCATGGTAAGAGAGCTGCAGCTGGCTCCACAGCTTCATGAAGGAGAGAAAAAGCTGGAGATGAGTGAAGCACGCACGTTGACTTGGGATGCCGTGAAGAGTCGTGCTTTCTGATCATGCAAAGTTTCACGTTAATTTGGGCTTCATTTCCAATTATCTACCTCTGGAGAGAGTGCACTTTAGCTACGGCTTGTCGACACTTCTGGCCATTAACAGACAAAACAATGTTATGACGCAGGAAAAGCTTCAAAGTGTTCAATAAAGATGCTATAATTTTTTGTGAGAGCTCGCATAGCGCTTCTGTATTGCATCCCTAGTATTGCTGAAACGTTCAAAAAGGAGAAGAACTAGTCACTAGCATATGCAGCCTTAGCTAATCTCGGCGACCATTTTCAGAACTCCCATTGGTTCAAGCTGATCATTCTAAGCTTAGCACTACGGGCTCACCATAGCCCGTCCTGCTTGGAACGTTTTGTTCCAAGTAGCGAATGCGACAAATTCTAGCATCTTGATCGTCATCTTGGACGAGAGCAACAATACTTGTCAAGAACGCTGCCGGAGAGCCCAGGCTGACTCACCTCGCTGGGTTTACATTGAAAACATTCACCTTACCAGTCAGTAACGCCCTGCTTGACCCCGTATTTTTGAGAGTAAAATCTGTGAAAACTAAACTAAGAAATGAAATGGAACTAATCCTTTTGACGTATGTTCGTCAGGAAGAAAACCAGACTTGTTGCTGGTCATTTGAAGCATCTACATCTTTGGTAACATATGAGTCTGCAACATACAAGAATGAGGTTGTGGTTGCAGAAGAACATCTTGATAATAATAATGATAAACATTGTCCAACTGTGAAGACTTGGAGGGACTCCACACCAATAATAAATGTTAGGTTCATGTGGCCAATATTGGTAACTTATCATATCGCATTTTTCATTATATACATACAATAATAATATTAATAAAACCAATAAAATCGTGGGATGTCACTCTATGTATTCAAATATATTACTTTGAAACCCGTATCAGTAAGTAAACAAAATATTAAGCTACTTTTATTACAAATTCGCTACCTTTAATCCTTCAGATTGCTACTTTCAGCCCTTCAGATCTGGCCCCTCTAGACACTACTACCTGGGCTCTTGGTGAGGGGTGCCACCTGGGCTCTTGGTGAGGGGCGCCAGCTGGGCTCTTGGTGAGGGGTGCCACCTGGGCTCTTGGTGAAGGGTGCCACCTGGGCTCTTGGTGAGGGGCGCCACCTGGGCTCTTGGTGAGGGGTGCCAGCTGGGCTCTTGGTGAGGGGTGCCACCTGGGCTCTTGGTGAAGGGTGCCACCTGGGCTCTTGGTGAGGGGCGCCACCTGGGCTCTTGGTGAGGGGTGCCACCTGGGCTCTTGGTGAGGGGCGCCAGCTGGGCTCTTGGTGAGGGGTGCCACCTGGGCTCTTGGTGAGGGGTGCCACCTGGGCTCTTGGTGAGGGGCGCCAGCTGGGCTCTTGGTGAGGGGTGCCACCTGGGCTCTTGGTGAGGGGTGCCACCTGGGCTCTTGGTGAGGGGTGCCACCTGGGCTCTTGGTGAGGGGCGCCAGCTGGGCTCTTGGTGAGGGGTGCCACCTGGGCTCTTGGTGAGGGGTGCCACCTGGGCTCTTGGTGAGGGGTGCCATCTGGGCTCTTGGTGAGGGGTGCCACCTGGGCTCTTGGTGAGGGGCGCCACCTGGGCTCTTGGTGAGGGGTGCCACCTGGGCTCTTGGTGAGGGGCGCCACCTGGGCTCTTGGTGAGGGGCACCAGCTGGGCTCTTGGTGAGGGGTGCCACCTGGGCTCTTGGTGAGGGGTGCCACCTGGGCTCTTGGTGAGGGGTGCCACCTGGGCTCTTGGTGAGGGGCGCCACCTGGGCTCTTGGTGAGGGGTGCCACCTGGGCTCTTGGTGAGGGGTGCCACCTGGGCTCTTGGTGAGGGGTGCCACCTGGGCTCTTGGTGAGGGGTGCCACCTGGGCTCTTGGTGAGGGGTGCCACCTGGGCTCTTGGTGAGGGGTGCCACCTGGGCTCTTGGTGAGGGGTGCCACCTGGGCTCTTGGTGAGGGGTGCCACCTGGGCTCTTGGTGAGGGGTGCCACCTGGGCTCTTGGTGAGGGGTGCCACCTGGGCTCTTGGTGAGGGGCGCCACCTGGGCTCTTGGTGAGGGGTGCCACCTGGGCTCTTGGTGAAGGGTGCCACCTGGGCTCTTGGTGAGGGGTGCCACCTGGGCTCTTGGTGAGGGGTGCCAGCTGGGCTCTTGGTGAGGGGTGCCACCTGGGCTCTTGGTGTGGGGTGCCACCTGGGCTCTTGGTGAGGGGTGCCACCTGGGCTCTTGGTGAGGGGTGCCACCTGGGCTCTTGGTGAGGGGCGCCACCTGGGCTCTTGGTGAGGGGTGCCACCTGGGCTCTTGGTGAGGGGTGCCAGCTGGGCTCTTGGTGAGGGGCACCACCTGGGCTCTTGGTGAGGGGTGCCACCTGGGCTCTTGGTGAGGGGCGCCACCTGGGCTCTTGGTGAGGGGTGCCACCTGGGCTCTTGGTGAGGGGTGCCACCTGGGCTCTTGGTGAGGGGTGCCAGCTGGGCTCTTGGTGAGGGGTGCCAGCTGGGCTCTTGGTGAGGGGTGCCACCTGGGCTCTTGGTGAGGGGTGCCACCTGGGCTCTTGGTGAGGGGTGCCACCTGGGCTCTTGGTGAGGGGTGCCAGCTGGGCTCTTGGTGAGGGGTGCCAGCTGGGCTCTTGGTGAGGGGTGCCACCTGGGCTCTTGGTGAGGGGTGCCACCTGGGCTCTTGGTGAGGGGCGCCACCTGGGCTCTTGGTGAGGGGTGCCACCTGGGCTCTTGGTGAGGGGTGCCAGCTGGGCTCTTGGTGAGGGGTGCCACCTGGGCTCTTGGTGAGGGGTGCCACCTGGGCTCTTGGTGAGGGGTGCCAGCTGGGCTCTTGGTGAGGGGTGCCACCTGGGCTCTTGGTGAGGGGTGCCACCTGGGCTCTTGGTGAGGGGTGCCAGCTGGGCTCTTGGTGAGGGGTGCCACCTGGGCTCTTGGTGAGGGGTGCCAGGAATGAGAGCGAGGGCAGTCAGGTGCACCACGGAGGGTCTGATGGTCACACACACACACACACACACACACACACACACACACACACACACACACACACACACACACACACACACACACACACACACACACACACACTCTAGGGAGCCGGCCGGCCGAGCGGACAGCACGCTGTCACGTGATCCTGTGGTCCCGGGTTCGATCCCGGGCGCCGGCGAGAAACGATGGGCAGAGTTTCTTTCACCCTATGCCCCTGTTACCTAGCAGAAAATAGGTACCTGCGAGTTAGTCAGCTGTCACGGGCTGCTGACTAACTGTGGCCAGACACAGGATACCGAATGGGAGATGAAGTACTTCATGAAACGGACAGAGAGAAAGATCTAGGAGTTGATATCACACCAAACCTGTCTCCTGAAGCCCACATAAAAAGAATAGCATAAGCGGCATACGCGAGGCTGGCTAACATCAGAACTGCTTTCAGTAACCTGTGTAAGGAATCCTTCAGAACCTTCTATACCACATATGTAAGACCAATCGTGGAGCATGCGGCCCCAGCATGCAGCCCGTACCTTGTCAAGCACAAGACGAAGCTGGAAAAAGTTCAAAGGTATGCCACTAGGCTAGTCCCAGAACTAAGAGGCATGAGTTATGAGGAAAGGCTGCGTGAACTGTACCTCACGTTGCTGAAAGACAGAAGAGCTCGGGGATACATGATCACCACATACAAAATTCTCAGAGGAATTGACAGGGTAGACAAGGATGGATTATTTAACACTGGTGTTTAACAAGTGGAGAACCCAAATGAGCCACAAAGACATTAGAAATAACTTTTTAATATGTCAGAGTAGTGTCTCTTTAGAGTAATTAGTACAGTAAATGGAATGCACTAGGAAGTGATGTGGTGGTTATCTTCTTCCGTTATCTTGAGATGATTTCGGGGCTTAGCGTCCCCGCGGCCCGGTCCTCGATCAGGCCTTCTTTTTGTTACCACCCAGTAAGCAGCCCGTAGCAGCTGTCTAACTCCCTGGTACCTATTTATTGCTAGGTAACAGGGGCATCAGGGTGAAAGAAACATTGTGCTCATTTGTTTCCGCCTCCAGCGGGGATCGAACCCGAAACCTCAGGACTACGAATCTGAAGCGCTGTCCACCTAGCTGTCAGGCGGCCTCCATAGACAGACTCCATACACAGTTTCAGATGTAGATATGATAGAGCCCAGTAGGCTCAGGAACCTGTACACCAGTTGATTGACAGTTGAGAGGCGGGACCAAAGAGCCAGAGCTCAACCTACCGCATGCACAGTGAGTTGTACTCACCTAGCACAACTAGGTGAGTACAACTAGATGAGTACACACACACACACACACACACACACACACACACACACACACACACACACACACACACACACACACACACACACACACACACTCACACAATAGTGATCTTACTAATTGGTCTTACACCACATATGTAAGACCAATCCTGGAGTATGCGGCCCCAGCATGGAGCCCGTATCTTGTCAAGCACAAGACGAAGCTGGAAAAAGTCCAAAGGTATGCTACTAGACTAGTCCCAGAACTAAGAGGCATGAGTTATGAGGAAAGGCTGCGGGAAATGCACCTTACGACCCTGGAAGACAGAAGAGTAAGGGGGGACATGATCACAACCTACAAAATCCTCAGGGGAATCGACCGGGTAAACAAGGATGAACTATTCAACACTGGTGGGACGCGAACAAGGGGACACAGGTGGAAGCTGAGTACCCAAATGAGCCACAGGGACGCTAGAAAGAACTTTTTCAGTGTCAGAGTAGTTAACGGATGGAATGCACTAGGCAGTGATGTGGTGGAGGCTGACTCCATACACAGTTTCAAGTGTAGATATGATAGAGCCCAGTAGGATTGACGGTTGAGAGGCGGGACCAAAGAGCCAGAGCCCAACCACCGCAAGCACAATTAGGTGAGTACAATTAGGTGAGTACACACACGCACACACACACACACACACACACACACACACACACACACACACACACACACACACACACACACACACACACACACACACACACACACACACACACACACACACACACACACACACACACACACACACACACACACACACACACACACACACACACACACACACACACACACACACACACACACACACACACACACACACACACACACACACACACACACACACACACACACACACACACACACACACACACACACACACACACACACACACACACACACACACACACACACACACACACACACACACCACACACTACACACACACACACACACACACACACACACACACACACACACACACACACACACACACACACACACACACACACACACACACACACACACACACACACACACACACACACACGGACGTAGAGAACAATAGCACACAATATAATGGACCAAAACATATGGAAATGCGAGGGCGGCGAAGAGTGACATACCAACTGTAAAGTGGAGACACTAGGAGGGAATGTAATAACTGACTGTTTAACAGACAGTGTTAACAGACAATGTTAACAGTGTTAACAGACAGTGTTAACAGACAGTGTTAACAGACAGTGTTAACAGACAATGTTAACAGTGTTAACAGACAGTGTTAACAGACAGTGTTAACAGACAGTGTTAACAGACAATGTTAACAGTGTTAACAGACAGTGTTAACAGACAATGTTAACAGACAGTGTTAACAGACAATGTTAATAGAGTCTTAAGAAGCAAAGCACGCAAGCGTTTCTGCCCCAAACGCTACGCGTGTTAGTGGTTTTGCAAGAATGTAAAAATAACAATCTTATGTAAACTCACCGACCCATTGTTCCTTGTTGTGAATACAAATTATTATTATTATTATTATTATTATTATTATAAAAATAAGAAGCAAAAGGGAGTGGAGAAAATACAGAGGTCAGAGGAGAGAGGAAAACAGGAAAAGATGTAATAGACCAAAGAACGAATATATAAATATATGGAGAGTATCGGAAAGATTTTACGAGAACGATATTGCTCTCAAAACTAGATTACAACCAAAATTACTACATAGTCATATTAAGAAAATGACAGTGAACGACCATGTGACAAGACTAAAGAAAACTGAAAGGAACAGAAAGAGACAAGGAAATCTGCGAGGTACTGAATGCCAGTTTCCATGGAGTGTTCACAACCGAGCCTGAGCAGCTCCCATTGTTGGAACACATGACCCTAGATGGGAGACTATCAGATATAGAGGTGACAGCAGAGGAGGTAATGAAACAGTTGACAACATTGGATGCAACTAAAGCAGTTGGACCAGGCAAAATATCACCGTGGATACTAAAAGAAGCAGCACAGGCCCTCAGCGTGCCTCTGACAATGATCTTTAATGAGTCACTTATGACAGGAGAATTCCCCAGTTGCTTGAAGAAGGCAAATGTCGTACCAATTTTCAAGTAAGGTGATAGAGAAGAGGCACTTAACTACAGACCAATATCACTTACAAGCATCCCCTGCAAACTACTTGAAAGAATAATCAGATTAAGACTAGTTATACAATTAGAGAGAATTAGGTATGTAAACAAACACCAATATGGGTTTAGAGAAGGGAAATGATGCCTAACAAACCTTCTGAATTCTATGATAAAGTAGCGAGAATAAGTCAGGACAGAGAAGGATGAGTTTATTTCTGGACTGCCAAAAAGCCTTTGATACAGTACAGCACCAGAGTTTACTATACAAACTTGAGAGGCAGGCAAGAGTAAGCGGAAAAGCCCTAGCCTGGATAAGGAATTACCTAACAGGCAGCAGCCAGAGAGTAACGAACAGTAAGGGGCGAAGAGTCGGACTGGCGAGCAGTAACAAGTGGAATACCTCAAGGATCCATGCTGGGACCAGGTCTATCTCGAATATATGTAAATGATTTGTCTAGTAATATTTGGCATCCATCAGTCTCAGGAGACTATGGAGTCACGCTCTGGTTGTCGGTCTGGAGTGGCCTCTCCAGGGCGCAAAGCCACAGTAGGTTGATACGGAGGGAGAAGTTGTCACCCATGCAACAGGCGCTGAAAGTCTCCAATGGAAAGGCAAACGCCAATACGATTGGTTCCAGCGCCGTCGCAGGAACTGTCAGAACGAGGTTGAAGGCACAACGGCCTGACCCCCTGGGGTCAGACCGTTGAGTCTTACATGTCCATGTTTACGGATGACGCTAAATTAATGAGACGAATTGTGACAGATAAAGTTTGCAAAGACAGATAAAGGACTCAAACAGAAAACGGGAAAGTACATCACTTTTATGAGCCGATTTCATTTAAAATTACGTCCATTTTTGGCCATCGCGCGCATACGAGCGAAAAGCGACTTTTTTTTTAAGAGGACGGGTTGTTGAACAGTCTCGGGCCTCTGATGTTGATAGAGTTCTCTCTCAGAGTACCTGTTGCACCTTTGCTCTTCAACGGGGGTATTCTGCACATCCTGCCATGCCTTCTGGTCTCATGTGATGTTATTTCTGTGTGCAGGTTTGGGACCAACCCCTCTACTATTGTCCACGTGTAGATTTTTATGTATCTCTCCCGACTGCGCTCAAGGGAATACAGATTTAGGCATTTGTTCTTCTAACCATCCGATCTCACAGGATGGTTAGAGGTACACCCGGCCCTGTATGGTTAGTGGTACACACAGCCCTGTATGGTTAGTGGTACACACAGCCCTGTATGGTTAGTGGTACACACAGCCCTGTATGGTTAGTGGTACACACAGCCCTGTATGGTTAGTGGTACACACAGCCCTGTATGGTTAGTGGTACACACAGCCCTGTATGGTTAGTGGTACACACAGCCCTGTATGGTTAGTGGTACACACCTCCCTGTGTGGTTAGTCGTAAGGGCCGTGGGATCAGTAGCCGTCACTGGGAAACTGTGAGCGCATTATGAGGACTACAGAACGAGAGTGAATACAGTAA